AGAGAGCAATAACTCTAGAATTAGAATTGGCATGCCCATGTATTTTATCTGAAATGACAATGTTATTATATTAATCTAGATATAATTAGTAGTAGACTCATTAGAATTAGGGGTAATAATTCAAGTTTTTACAGGGAAGAAGAAATAATTATACTGTATATAATTTTAGGTACTGCATGAATGATAGTGGTAAACACACAAATGATAATACAAGTAATTTTAAGTAATGCACCACTTCCTTAACCTATTATACCTATTATTTACCTTAGTAAATACTTAGCAGTAGATAAACTAGAATTAGAGCTAAAAAGTCAAGTTTTTACAGGAAAGAAGAAATAATTATAATTTTAAGTAGTCTATTATGTCCAGGTATTTTCTTTTTCTCTGAGTTTAGCCATCCTGTACTGTAAATAGGCTGTACTTTTTGCATTTGTTTCTGGATTATATTCAATTGTCTATTTATATTACCTATAAAAGTACCTTTCCCACTTAGATGAAAAAACTAAAAGTTGCAAATACTGCAGGCCACACAGGTGGCCCATGTGATCTTTTAACAATAGAGTAATCGGGCTGGTGTTTACTTTTCCTTGGAGTCCAACCTAGAAACAAAATATCAATCCTATCACACTAGTATCAATCCAACACCAATACTAGCTTCGATATTATATCTAACAGTATTTGGATCGACCCGCCCACTTATACTCTGAGGCACACCAATGCAATTCACAATATCAATATAAAAAGTAGAGCATAATTATAGAATAAAATTTGGATCTTTTTTGTTCACTAAAATACATGGAAATAATGCACTACTTAAAATGATTGATTTCTATCTCATTTCCTGTAAAATACCCAGATGTTGTGCACTACTTAAATTACAAATGCAGTACTTAAGAACATTTTTCTGCTTTCCTGTAAAAAAAAAGTTGAATTATTACCCTCCTATTCAAGTTTGTCTACATGTAAATTCCATTTAAGTCTATTACACCCTTGATCGTGGACTGTATTATAAAGTGCTATCAATATTTTGATATATGGACAAATGTTCATTTTTAGAAGGTGTAACGTAGACTAAGATTTTTGTTATTTACTGCCTGATAATAAATATGATGTCCCTTATTAAATTAGAAGGTTGTATTTCTTCCTCACTTATATATAAGTTTGCAACCATCAAACTTAGAATTAAAGTTGCTTTTTGTTTGGCTCCAGTTGTCCATTGACGTCTCCATTCTCTTCACTTAAATCATGCACATCTTTGGTGCACTTGATTCTCAGCAGGAAATTGGACAGCACGTCTTGATAGAGACTCAAGCAGATCCACCCGGGCAGGTAGAGCAGGGTGATAAGTCCCATGAAGTTGTGAGGATAGTGGGAGTAATCCCAAGAGCAAGCGTTAAACTGCCTCAGGACCAGACCCCACGAGAATTCCCACGTGTAGATGAAGCAGATGTAGATGGGAAGCCGTCGCCAGGTCCCCCAGCCCAGGCTGAAGTGCAGGTAAAGGTAGAGCTTCTCCACCACGAAGCTGCAGCTTCCGTACATCAGGAAAGACCACAGGGACGTGTGACCGCTGAGGGTCCTGTCAGACTTCTCCACCAGGTTGAACAGAGAGGTGAAAATGACCTCGTCCAGAAAGCCGTGCATCCCGAAGAATAAGAAGCGCGCAAAGCCGGGAAGACCGTGCGGAGGTCTGCCTTCCAGCTGGAGGTCGGCGGACAATGATGGGCGATACTGTAGATGTGACAGCTCTCTGTGAAACACCTGAGAGAAGTAGAGAGCCAGGATGTAATGCACTACCAGCTGAGTCCCAGAAACCACCCTCACTTGCTCGGCCAAAGTGTTAATGTTTCCGATCAGAATCTGCAGCCCGATGTAGATGGACGGGTAGAAAACAAGATGAAACACCACAGGCCGACCTCGGAAGCACCTCTTCTGTGAGTAGATCTTTTCCAGCGCAAAATGGGTCAGCGAATGCATGATGCAAAGATACGGAGAGGAAAAGCCCATCAGCTTAGGGTCCCGTGAGTGCAAAAGCCCCTGTAAGGATGACAGCAGTACATCCAGAGTCACGCCGTGCATCCCGTAGAAGTAAAGCCGCATCCATCGCGGCAGTCCCCGCGGCGGCTCCGTCGCGTCCCCTGTGTCTGAGCCCGGTTCTTGCTGCTGGCGGAGCTTTCGTGCCGGTTTGAGGCCACCGTCCTGCTCTCCCGAACACACGCGAGCACCGTCTCGCCACCGACCGGCCATGATCACTCTGTGTGGAGAGCTCCAGCTGTCCCCTTCCTGTGCATTGTTTTCTTTTATGTTGCGCTGCAGACGCGCAGTGAGCGAGCTGCGACTAAAAGCATCTCCTGCAAGAGTACGTTATGCTGCGTTCACGTGCTCCCCAGAAGAAACAGTTTTCTGAGTAGACTTTGACAGGCTTTTAGTTTTCCTGCGTACCATAAATGTGCTGTTTACGCTTACTGTTTCTCATCAAGACGCCCTTTCCGCGGGCTGTACTTGAGGTTTAACTAATTTGTTTAGCGGATTTCCTTCCCGATAAGGCATTTGCAAATTCAACTTTGAAATTGCATTGTTTATACATGTTAATTACCCGCCAGTCTTCTCCTTTCCTTTGTGGGCACAGTGATATTTTTCAGCATAGTACATAAATGACAGCTGAATTACAGACCAGAATGAAGCCAGTGGTGGGATGTATGTCCTCGATGTGTGTTCTTTCTGTTGTTAC